AACATCAGAAATCACCTGAGTAACACCATTAACTTGCATACAAACGCTTCCTTTTCCCATAACCGCCATTCTAGTATCATTTCCGAGTTTTACAGATTGCCCGAAGCTTTCATCCAAGTTTGTGAACCATTCCTTGATTCCACTCATATGATTGCTACAGCCGGAGTCGAGAAACCATACTTCTTCCTTTCTGGAATGTTTGAGTTCAACATAAGACATCAATAAAAGCTCCTCTTCTTCTTCCCCTTCCAATTCAGCATAGTTGGCCCTTCTCTCCTAATCTGGACACTCATATTGATAGTGTCCTAACCTATGACATCTAAAACACTCAATGACAGCTTTGTTGATGGGTTGTCTTCCCCTTCCTCTACCTCGACCACCTATAAATACACCTCTACCTCTTCCTCTTCTTGCTCTATCTTCATGTGATATTTTTAGAACTTGCTCTTCTTCTCCATGGTTTCTCATCCTCTGCTCATGAACGAGAAGACTGCTCTGCAACTCGTCAATTGTCATCGTGTATAGGTTGTTAGATTCTTCAATTGAACATACCACATAATCGAATTTTGAGATCATTGATCTCAAAATTTTTCCAGTAATGATTGTTTCAGTCATACTTTCACCAAGAGCTTTCATTTTGTTAGCAATGGTTAGAGTACGAGAGAAATAAGCATTCGTTGTTTCTCCTTCTTTCATATTAAGAATCTCAAAATCTTTTTGTAACGCTTGCAATTGTGCCCTTTTAACCCGGGTTGAGCCCTGGAATTTCTGCTTCATTGAATCCCATATACCCTTAGATGAATCTTTGTTAAGGATTGTTTCAAGCACATCACGAGGGATTACTTGAAAGAGGTAATTTTTTCCCTTCAAGTCCTTCAATTTCTACTCTTCAATCAATTTGTGTTGTGTCTCTGTCGGTTGTACTCCACCTGCCACGACCAATATTCCATTCTCAACGATACCCCAATATTCTTTAGAACGGAGAAAATTTTCCATCAACATCGCCCAATGGTCATAGTGACCATCAAACTTGGGAATTGCGGGCTGCGTGAAACTACTGTTACCATTTTCTGCCATTCTTCTACTTGAAAGAAAATGGGAGTTTCTCTTCTATGTTCACTGTTCCTCTCACACTCACTGTGTTTTCTCACACTCACACTGTTTCTCTTAACACTCACACACTAAGGATCAGGTCCCAATAATGGAGCTCTGACACCACTTGTTGGGGAAGTCTGTGGAGCGAGGCCCGGAAGTGTTAATGGGTTAAACGTCCCGGGTCCAAGAGATTTTGATACCACATATCCACCAAAAGCCTTAAGGAAATGTGCGTATGAGTCACCTTTCTTATAAATCCAACATTTCCATCATTTTTAGTTGATGTGGGGTTTTAGAATTTTCACACTTGAAACCCAACAAGAATGCTTTCAGGTTTGCTGAAGGAGAGTGTCCAAGAGAAAAAAGAATTCATGGAATCAAAGTTGCTACAGGAGCTCTAGTGGTGTCTCACTTATTTTTTGAGAACGATAGCCTATTGTTTTCTAGGGCCAACGGGACCGAGGCTGACAACTTCCTTAGTATCCTTCAAAAGTACCAGTTGGCGTCTGGACAGTTGGTTAACCTTGATAAGTTTTAGGTGTCTTTCAGTTAAAATTTGTGTGGAAAGGACATATGATGGAGGTTAAGAAGGTTCAAAGACACTCGAAGTATCTTGGGCTTCCAATTGTGTTTGGCAGGTTGAAGAAGGAAATTTTTAGGTTGGTTGTTGAAAGGGTTTGGAAGAAAATTAAAGGGTGGAAGGAAAGGTTTTTGTCTAGAGCTGGAAAAAAGGTGCTGATTAAGGTTGTCGCGCAAGCAATACCTAGTTACATTATAAGTTGTTATAAGCTACCTGAGAGTATCTTCCAGGAGATAGAAAGCATGATTGCAAGGTTTTTGTGAGGATCAACTAAGGGGACTAGGAAAGTCCATTGGTTGAAGTGGGATAAGGTGTCTAGGGCGAAGAATGTTAGGGATCTTGGGTTTCGAGGCATTAGTGAATTTCATACTAGCTTGTTGGGAAAACACTATTAGAGGCTGTTGAATGGTAATTCCTCTTTTATGGGGAAGATTTTTCAAGAATAGGTACTACCCAAGGTAGTCAATTAATGATTGCTCTGTTGGTTTTGCCCTGAGTTACGTGGAGGAGCATCATGAGTGCCAAAGATCTTGTTCAAATAGAGGATCAGGTGGATGATTGGGAATAGGGAGAAGGTGAGGGTGATGGAGGGTAAGTGGATCCCTAACAACACAAGATTCAATGTTTTGAGCCAGATGCGAGGTTTGGAGGCTAATACTAAGGTGAGCATGTTAATTGACTATGATTTGGGAGTTTGGAAGTTTGTGTTGGTCTTTAATACCTTCGATGAGGCCCTTGTCCATAAGAAATATTGAGGACAAAGAGATTTGACACTTTGAGAAGAATGGGGAATTTTTTGTGCAGTTTGTGTATCATCTATGCACTCATGTGAAGGATTCCAAACAGCCTGGCCCTTCAAGGACCTCGTGTCAAAAACTCTGGAACAAAATCTGGTATGCACTTGTACATGGAAGAATAAGGAATTTCCTTTGGAGACTGGGCCAAATATATCCTCCTTACCAAGGGTAATCTCAAGAAGAAAGGTATTATCCTTGACACGACTTGTTACCTCTGTAATGCTGATGATGAGTCAACAAACCACTTATTATTGAAGTGTGATTTTGCAAAGTGAGCCTTTTTCTCCTCTATTCTTAGCTATCATGCCAATGGTGACGGGTACCTCAATGAGTGGCCGTTACATGTGTTTAATTGTGGGGACGAGACCATCGTTCAAATCTTTTGTTACTTGTTGTATAAGATAGGGAATGCTCGTAATTTACAGATGTACAAACAACAAAGGGTGAACCCCATCAAGGTGGATGAGGAAGCAGTGGATGGAGTGGTAGAATTCAACCTTAACAACCCAAGGCATGGGAAGCAGATTAAGTTTACAAGCGAGCTTGCTGATGAGCCAACCTTATCTGATGTTCATATTGTGCAGGTGGACGCAGGGATTGAAAAGGAAGGTTTTGTCTCGTTCGATTGTATGATCAAAGACATTGAGAAGAAGTCGCTACTGTCCTCGTGCAGGGAAGAGCTTGTGATGATGAATCCTACTTTGGTTGAGGCTTATGCGATTAGGTGGAGCATGGAGAATGCGAAACAACTTAACTTGGAGAAAGTTGTTTTCCAGTCTGATGCCCAAGTTGTGGTGGACTGCATCAACAACAATTCTTCTACTATTGCCTTGAGCCACTAGTCTTAGATTGCTGTGATATGTTAGGATCTTTTAAAATGACTTCCATCATGTTTATTCCTAGAAGCTGCAATGTGGATGCTCACAATTTAATGGGGTTTGGGAAAGCTGTTGGCTCTAAAAATTGAATAGGGACTACCCAAAGTTAGGGGCCTCTAACTCTAACAAAGTTGTTCCTTCTTCGATTTCATAATGAAATTATTTTACTCTAAAAAAAACTAGTAACTTTCCCAAATTGCCTCATCCAATTTGCTCTCAAGTTCAAATCTAAATCTCTCAATTCCAACACATAAGCAACCACTAGACTAGTGAAGTCCTCAATATGTAATTCAACATTTATACACTCCCTAACCACTAATTTCACCCCTCATTTGGCACTTGATTCCACCACAAAGCCAAGTGCTTTTGCAACTTTAAGATCAATAAAGCAACGACTCACCTATTGTCTCCCCCATACCTTTTGTCTAATACCCACCGTTCCCTCCAACCTCATCCATATAAATGACTTTTAGAAATCCTTCATTTTTTGTCCCTCCAATACTTCCCTAATGCATTACACTCTAATGTAATCTCTTCATTCTCTTCCCAAGATCTATTGTTTCATCGTTTCTGAGAATCACCAAGTAACTCATCCAAGCAAATCATCGTCGTCAAACGGTAATAGCTCCATCTTCTTCACCACCATTTTAAACTCTGAACCCATTTCATAAAAAAAGAGGGGACGAGACTTCAAAAGAAGGTTTCTCTCTAAGTTAGACAAATTCCACCATTCCCAACTTCTGAAACTCATCCCATTCGGATCCAATGCATCAAATTTCTCTTCCAATGCATCAACTCTATCATATATTTTTGGTAGCATGGAGAATTAAGAGTTCACTGACTTGTACTTGTAACCCAATAGGTCATCAAAATAAGCAACAACAAAAATTGTAGTACGGTGATTAATAAAATAGTGACAATTGAAGAAAATAAGTTATTGAATTTATGGTGTAATAGGATAAAGAAGTAGATTGCTCTTTCAATATGAATATACCATAGTAGAAGCTCCATAAAATATCAATTATCCTAACCAACTAACAGATTGATCATTATATAATTATTCCCCACTCATTCATTTGCCCATATACTTAACAAAATTCGTTTGTCCATACTCTCTAACATAATCAGGTGGTGCCTGCCATCTCACCGGCCTCCCCTTTTCTCTCTCTCCTGTCCCACCTTTCTTTCTTCTAATACACCTTCCAAGTAATAGGATTCTTAGTAACAAGACCACATCAGGAAATGCACCATAATTCATGTATCAGGAGCGCATGTTTAGGATCTAAACAAGTGTTGAAATCTAGTTTTTCATAGAAGTAATATATGCAGCATAATGTATCAGTTACTATCCACTTAGGGTGTGGTAGAATGTAGAAAACAGATATTTAAATTAAACTTGAAGAAAACAACATATATATTGTATTTATGTTCATATGGGAGATAATACATAATTACACAGCACCAGATTTCAGTGCAAGAGGACCTTCTACATAAGATTTCTCCATAGGAGAATAAACAACCACGCTTTGAAATTGAAATTAAAAAAAGAAAAAGCTAAAAATAGTTCTTTCCTATATTCTGTTGTCTAGGCAGAGAGAAAATTGCTATATGTAAACACATGCAAAGGTTGTGCAGTATCATCTTCATTCATCATGGTTCCAATTTCAATGAAACAACTCTCGACTGTCTGTTGGATTTTGCAACCTTTAAGAACACTGTTGACAGGCATGCTGGTGCCCACCACGGCCGCCGCACCTTTTGGTCCCCTTTCAAACAAGCCACTACAGACGTGAACAACATCACAAAGAAGTTAGGGGCAGATTAATAAAACACAATGTATCTGGTTGCACAGAAGAAACATCTGCACTTTTCATGTCTCCTTATCCATTAAACATGTCACATGTTCAAATAGATGATGTTTTGACAACTGAGTTTTGAAAAGTGTAAATGTAATTTGCATTTAGAATATGCTTAACAATGTTTGATATTAAGTGTTAATTAATAAGGAGATAACATGTTGATGGTTGTCTTGTCTCTATCAAAGTGACAACTGTACTAATAATGGATGAAGGAAATCAATTTCAATCCTTTAACTGTTCCATACGCTTCCAAAATAATGGAATGGATTCTTTAATATTAATATGTTCGGTGATAAAATATCCAAACTAAGGTGTATGGTATTTTAATTCCATTGCATTCTATACTTATTCCTATTCAAACACAGGATTAACATATACTTCAATCTCTCATCTAATATGTTCATGTTTCCTTTGATTGCTCAAATGCTAAGAAGCCCAAATACTTAATACATAACAGAATAGTTCTAAAATCTAAATATAAAATTCAGAATAAATACATTTAACACAAATTTTTAAAATATTATACATACTTTACATAAACCCGTAGTATTGCAAAGACTGGTTTTTTTAATTAATATATAACTATATGCAGATGATGATCACATCTTGCAGAAAGATACTTGTGCTAGGTGTCAAAAAGGGCCCAGTCCCTCCTCGAACATGCCCGTTTTGCCCGCACTTTTTCGCAGAGCGGGCCAAAGTTTTAGGCTCGCATCCTTTAATATGTCCGACTTGCCCCGCCCTATTTTTTTTCAGGCTTTTGCAGGCACGAGTTTTAACATAATTTTTTTCAATTTTAAGTTTTAGAAATGCAATGCCCACAGGCCCGGCCCACCGTCATTTCTTTACGGGACAGGCCAAAGTTTTAGGCATGCACCCTCAACTATGTCCGCCCCGTTTTTTGCGGGACAGACCTAAACGGAGGCAAGCCCGTTTGCCATCCCTACTTGTGCTCATAAGACAAAAGCAAAGACTCTGTATCTCTGTTATCCATATCAAAAATATGTTCTTTTCCTTGTTAATAGTCAAGGATGTGTTTTTCCCCAACCAATGTCAAAATGTCGTTGAAAAAAGGTTGTATTTAAAACAAGTATTGACTATTCAATAGTTTACTAATATTCAATTGTATCAATTTCACCCCATCATTCTTATCATTCAAAAAGGCAAGTCAATTACCAGGAGACAGTATTTCCAATTCAAGATGTGGTCACCACCACGACCACCAAATTGATTGTACATCTTGACTAATACCCCACAATCAATTAATGAATAAAGGAGTATGCACTCATATTCCACTCACATCATGATGAAGAACGAGGTTGTACAAAAAATCTTTTAAGAAAAGTTTTTGGAGATTTAAACCAAGGTATTGAAGAGGTATCCCAAACGTATCGATCAATATTTTCTTCTAAAAATATTAAAATTTTTTGGATGATACTCATTGAATGCGTTATAGGTGTATCATATGCGTATCAATATCAGTTGCGGCACGAAACCAAAACTTAGGCAATTTTGGAGTACCTAGGCTTCAAAAATGACATGAAATGAAACAGATTATCACAACAATGAGGTACAATCCTTACCTAATTAGGCGAAGAGCTCAAAACAGATCGGTAAAATAATTCAAATGAGAGTTTAATGGAAAGTTTTTGTATTTTACTGTTCAAGGGAGAGAAGGAAACCTTTAATCCGTCTCAATTCCTTGCATAACGTGATGAAGTCTCCCCACTTCATGTGGCAACGTCTTATGAAACGAAGGATCTGTTCAGTCGTGAACATAGACATCCCTTCCAAGTATTCTCCATTAACACCATTTTCCCTAAAAGTTTGCCGATAACTACCAAGATTTATAGTCTCCAGCCACATGCCAACATCCTGATAAAACAGATAAAAAAAATATGCACATCAGTCAAGATTACAATGTTATATCAGTCATTGAGCACAGAGCATTAACTACATTGTAGAATCTATACCTATGAAACACACCTGGGTAAGAAAGTGCGCAAACAATCAAAAACATATAAGCAGAATCATACTTCTATTTTGAGATCTTGACACACATAATGCGACATCAAAGTAGATTAACAAGGATAAATCATAAGCTTACCATTTCAGGTATGATAAATAAACACACGAACACAAACACAAATGTTTACACTCCAGATTGATAGGACTCTAGCAACCTACTTAACAGAACAGTGACGTATAAATCATAAGCTTGCCATATCACCGATAAAGACCTCAACTTAGGGCATAATAACCTACAATAAACTGGTCTCTAGTTTTACATTCCATATTACAAAGACATACAACAACAACCAAGCCTTATCCCACTAAGTGAGGGCTACATGGATCCACTTTCACGATAATGTTCTATTCAGGATCATGCTTTTATCCAAATCTTTTTTAATAACTTTTGTTATAGTTTTTACAAAGACATAATTGCAAATATCTCAGAAAGATGCATATTGATAGCTTCCTTGGGGGAATGGGAACTCGTCAAGATGAAGATTTACACATTCTAATATTGCAGAAAGGTGTGAGCATACAGCACGGGACTAAAAACTATTTAAATATTATTTTGTTATAGCAAATAACATGTAAATTTATAATTTAAACTTTGAGTGTAACACTGGAAATAACCAAACAAAGTTGTCTGCCATTAATTAGGATTTAATTTAATACTAGATAACTTGTGATCATAAAGATAAACTATAACTTATTTTAGGTGATGAGATTCACAAGCAAGCTCAATTGTGCACGCATAAGCTTGACTAGCAAATCATTTCTCTAAAAGAACGACTCGAACATCACCCACCAAGTTCCCCATCACCAATATCGCATTCGACTTTTCAACAAACAAGATCAAAAGAACTTCTTTCATCTCAGATTTAACTAGCTAACCTAAGCTTAGTGTCTAATGAAATATTCTAAGAACCAAAACTCTACTCCAAATTAGTTTGAAATTAAAATTCCAACACAAAACAAAAACTTATTATAAAACAAATCAATTAATTAATAAAAGTAAGTTATCTAATACCGACACCTCCGAACAAAATGTGTGTCTGTGTCGGTATCCGAAATCAACACCTTACCTTAAGATTAATTTATTCATTTTCTCAAATTATTACTCGTGTCAAGGTGTCAGTGTCGGGTTTCCGGTATCCGTGTTTTACAGAAAGTAAGAAACAATAGCAACTCAGATTACTAATTAACCATACAACAAGTTCAACTCAAAGTTTTACCTAAACAAGATCTGATTGTAAATCATAGTTTTTTCTTCACAAAACAACAATAACAGTTAATTAACTAATTAAATAACAACAATTAAAAACTATAAACCAATTGATTGAATGAAGTAATCAACCTCAACAGTCCAGATGAAGAAATCAAGAGGCTCCGGTGACTGTCCTTTGTTCATTTCAAAATCAAATTTCCCTAAATTCACCTGAACAAAACCAAACACATAATCAAAAAACAAGAAAAAGCGAGATCTCAAACTCTAGAGTTTTAGGGAAAATAAATCAAAATTAAAGAAGAAAAATAAATTTTAAAAAAAAAAGCTTATACCAGTTTCAGTGAGTATAAGATTGAGTGGAAATTTATAAAATTGAGAAGTAGAAGAAGAAGAAATTCCACATTTGAGATGAAAGAGAAGAAGACAAAGAGAGAAAAAAAAGAGAAAGAGGAAAGTGAGAGAGTTGTTTAGTTTAGGGATAGAAGCTTTTTCAGAATTGTATGTTTCGTGTTGACGTGCCACGCGACTAGATTTCATCACAAAGACACGCGCTATTCCTCACTCATCACATTCACATGACACATTACCTCATTCATCCCCTTTTTCTTATCAACTATCTATCTATTACTATTCATTGGCACCAATCTACCACTTATACCATTTCACTAAATTTTCATTCACACTACTTAAAATCTTTTTATGTAATCAACTAAATAATAATTCATCATCCAATCAGAAGAACTCATTTTGCCGAGTGCCAGAAATCAACTACCTATCCATTACTATTCATTGCCACCAATCTACCATTTATATCCTTTCACTAAATTTTCATTCGCACTACTTAAAGCCCTTTTATGTAATCAACTAAATAATAATTCATCACCCAATCAGAAGAACCCATTTTGCCAAGTGGCAGAAATATTTTGAATTTTTTTTTACCATTTCTCTCTCACTCTCACTTTCTCTCTCTTTCTAGTACAACCTCTTTCTCGTCTCTCAGAATTCGCTCTATATTCTTTCCTCTCTCATTTTTGTCTCTTTCCTTGTCGTCATAACCTTCCCCATCTCACCCTCTCTCAAACCCTAGCACTCCGTCGCCGAAGCTCTGAGAAATAAGTCGAAACGATCTCGTAAATGCAGAAACTCTTGGCTCTGCAAATCTTCGTCTCCGATTGTATGATATCATAGAAACTCATATTTCATTTCAATCTCTCATTTTCTTTCACTCATTTTCATTTTATTTATAGTTTACGGTGGCTACGAGTTTGTTAACAATTATTTTTATTTTCTTTTTGGATTCCAGTTTTGATTTCAGGATCTATTCATGGCTATACTTTGATGATTTGTGTGGAGGAGGATGTATATGTAAGGAGTGCTTTGGTCGCATGAACAAATGTCGGTCAACATGATTCATTATATAGTTGAGGAACACAATATTGATATTGAATCTCAGGTGTTAAAAAGAGTCAAGATAATGTTACTATTTGAAATTGCATTTTACCTATTTTATGTCAAGTTTATTGAGTTTCTGAATGCTACTTCTTAAGCATCATAAGCATGATATCTTAGGTTAATTAGTTAATTAAGTTGTCAATATGAGAGACTGAGTTCTGCATAATAAGCATGCTGCATACTTTAAAAAAATCAAAATGTAGCAATAAGTTTGAATCTTCATCCTAATGGGTGGTTATTTGGCATGGGATGATATTGGCAAGCTCCGAATTTTCTCTTCCTAGGGTAAGATTTTTATTTTTACATTTAATTTGTCTATTCTCTAAACATATTTTATGAGTTTGGTTTATTCTTATTGTTGGTATTTATTTCTAACATCTATTTTTTCCCATCTCCTTTTGATATATTTGTTTTCTTTTTGTTGGTTATTAAGAGTTCAAGTGAGAAAAGTTTCCTGAATGATATTGCTGCAAATGGACGAAATGGAATCGATGTTGACAAGTAAGTTAGAACATAAAATTTAATTGTTGAATCTGATTTACAATTTTTTTTCTTTCTATTCTCTCTTTTATGTATTCTTCAGATGTTTGTTCAACATAGTTATGCTAAAGTTTAATTCTCTGTGGAAACGGTTGATTTACATGCAGATTTGATTATATTGCCCGTGATTGTCGAGCTTGTGGTCTTGGATGCAACTTTGAGTTTCAAAGATTACATGAATTTCTTCAAAACATTTCTTTTTAGTAGTGTTTAGATGATTTTTCTTGGCAATAAATTTAAAGTTTATATAATATACATAGGTCATGTGTCTCTTAAATTATAGTATCCTTACAGGTTAATGGAGACGGGTCTTGGATGATGAGATTTGTTATCGTGCGAAAGACTATTCATTGCCACCAATCTACCATTTATACTCTTTCACTAAATTTTCATTCACACTACTTAAAGCCCTTTTATGTAATCAACTAAGAGCATAATTATCAGTTCAAATATATAGTTCATACACTATTACCAAAGTGACTGTGTCAGAAAATGATGGATAATTGCATAATAACACAATTATTTAGTTTGCAACCGTTGTCACATTAAACAACGTTCCTACAAGTGCCACATGTGCATTTAATTAATTATTTAATTGGAAATGATTGTAAAAAAATTTAATATAAGATATATTGTGATATTTAATGGGACCCATTTTACAAATTTGATGAGTTGTATGGATATTTAGAAAATGTAGTTGTGTTGTTTAAATAATTTAAAAGTGTAATATAATATAAAAAATTATGTGGGTCCCATTTAAAGAACTAAAATGTGGTTGATGAGTGTGGATGCTCTAAATAATAATTTATCACCCAATCAGAAGAACCCATTTTGTCCAGTGGCAGAAATATTTTGAATTTTTTTTACCATTTCCCTCTCACTCTCACCTTCTCTCTCTTTCTCGTACAACCTCTTTCTCCCTCTTTCTCGTCTCTCAGAATTGGCTCTCTATTCTTTCCCCTCTCTCATTTTCGTCTCTTTCCTTGTCGTCACAACCTTCCCCATCTCTCCCTCTCTCAAACCCTAGCACTCCGCCGCCGAAGCTCTGAGAAATAAGTCGAAACAATCTCGTAAATGCAGAAACTCTTGGCTCTGCAAATCTTCGTCTTCGATTGTATGGTATCATAGAAACTCATATTTCATTTCAATCTCTCATTTTCTTTCACTCATTTTTATTTTATTTATAGTTTACAGTGGCTACGAGTTTGTTAACAGTTATTTTTATTTTCTTTTTGGGTCTCAGTTTTGATTTTAGGATCTATTCATGGCTATACTTTGGTGATTGGTGTGGAGGAAGATGTATATGCAAGGAGTGCTTTGGTCGCATGAACAAATGTCGGTCAACATTGTTCATTATATAGTTGAGGAACACAATATTGATATTGAATCTCAGGTGTTAAAAAGAGTCAAGGTAATGTTACTATTTGAAATTGCATTTTACCTATTTTATGTCAAGTTTATCGAGTTTCTGAATGTTACTTCTTAAGCATCATAAGTATGATATCTTAGGTTAATTAGTTAATTAAGTTGTCAATATAAGAGACTGAGTTCTGCATAATAAGCATGTTGCGTACTTTAAAAAAATCAAAATGTAGCAATAAGTTTGAATCTTCATCCTAATGGATGGTTATTTGGCAGAAGATGATTTTGGCAAGCTCCGAATTTTCTCTTCCTAGGGTAAGATTTTTATTTTTAAATTTAATTTGTCTATTCTATAGACATATTTTATGAGTTTGGTTTATTCTTATTGTTGGTATTTATTTCTAACATCTATTTTTTCCCCTCTCCTTTTGATATATTTGTTTTCTTTTTGTTGGTTATTAAGAGCTTAAGTGAGAAAAGTTTTCTGAATCATATTGTTGCAAATGGACGAAATGAAATCGATGTTGACAAGAAAGTTAGCACATAAAATTTAATTGTTGGATCTGATTTACAATTTTTTTTCTTTCTATTCTCTCTTTTATGTATTCTTCAGATGTTTGTTCAACAGAGTTATGCTAAATTTTAATTCTCTGTGAAAACAGTTGATTTGCATGCAGATTTGATTATATTGCCCGTGATTGTCGAGCTTGTGGTCTTGGATGCAACTTTGAGTTTCAAAGATTACATGAATTTCTTCAAAACAATTCTTTTTAGTAGTGTTTAGATGATTTTTCTTGACAATAGATTTAAAGTTTATATAATATACATAGGTCATGTGTCTCTTAAATTATAGTTTTCTTACAGGTTAATGGAGACGGGTCTTGGATGATGAGATTTGTTATCGTGCGAAGGACTATTCAATGATAAAAATATAACTCTCTCCCAAGTGCTTTTACATTAACAAGAACAAGAAATATAAGAAATTTGATGTATTATTTGTTATAAAAAAAATGATAGAATAGAAGAGAGAAGTGTAAATATTTTTAAAAAGACAAAGAAAAGTGTAAAAATTAAAAGAAAAACAAAAATATCCATTAATTTAGTTAATACTATAGGATAAATTAAAAAAATGGGTTAAAATTAATTATTCAATGAGTGATAAAGTTGGAAAATTTACAGTCTTCCTCATTTCTCTCCTAATATGAAAAGATTAGAAAAATGATAGGCCCATGAATTATAACTCTCTCTTGTCTTTCTCACCACAACCAAACAAGAGAAGTTTGTTACTTCTCTTCAACCTCTCTCTTTTCTTTTTCTCCTCTATCAATCAAACCCTTAGTACTAATGTTCAACCTTGGACTAGGATTTGCAGACATTAAATGATAAATTTAATCTATAAACTACCAGTTAATTGAAAATATAATAACAACCACTCCTGAAAGGAAATGAGGTGCAAATAGCAAATCTCATCCAATAATGCTATGACCCAGCCCATACTAGCAGATCTCAGCCCATCCTAAATGCAATTTCGTATCTCCCTCTGTCCATCACTGCACTGACGACTGAATGAACTGGAATAAGGTAATTTCATATTTAAATCCTTAATATCATTCTGAAATTTCATTGAATTTGATTCATTCCTACAATCCATATTGTATTCTTAATCTTTGCAGAATACACGGTAATAGAAGAATAAAAAGGGCAGTTGTTAGAAAACTAACCAAAACAATAGTACTAGTTGAGAATTTAGAGCGGGGAGCTAACAAAAAGCTTGAGGAACCAAACTTTGCAATCCCACTTCAACTCCAAGACCAGTTTCGGAATACTACACATTGAAATGAAGATTCAAGGAAGCGCATAACACACTGCTATTATTACTAACTCTGCCTCTGTGCCCTGTTCACAGGTACCCCTCATTTGCATGTACCCATTTTTCAAGCAAACACAGTGTCTTCACTCCTCACTTTCTCATTGTTCCATTCTCCTAGACCACTCTTTATCTTATAGATCCTCTAATTTTCTCAAAACCCTCCATGCCCACTTCCTCAAATTGGGTCTTAATAGCTATACATATTTGGGTAATCGCTGTATCGATCTTTATACTGAGTTTGGCCACATTAATGATGCCTTAAAGGTGTTTGAGGATATTTCTTATAAGAACTCCACTTCCTGGAACATTTGCTTGAAAGGGTTGTTTAAAAGTGGCCAATTTGACAATGCCTGCCACATGTTTGATAGAATGCCCGTTAGAGATGCTGTTAGTTGGAACACTATGATTTCGGGTTATGCTTCTTGTGCGTTTTCTCGTCATGCTTTGGAGCTTTTTGTTAAAATGCAAGAGATTGGTGTGAGACCGAGTGTGTTCACTTTCTCAATTTTAACATCCGTTGTGTCGAGTCCTTTTCATGCTAAGGAGGTTCATGCTAGGATGATTAGAAGTTGGATGAATTTGTCTAATGTGGTGATTGGAAATTCGTTGGTAACTATGTATGGGAAGTTTGGTCTTGTTGATTATTCTTTTGGCGTGATTTTTAGTATGAAGCAGCTTGATGTTATATCTTGGAATTCGTTGATATGGGCTTGTCATAGAGCTGGGCGCCAAGAGCTTGCTCTAGAGCAGTTCTGTTGCATGAGAGCTGCTGAGTTGTTACCTGATGAGTTTACGTGTTCAACATTGATGAGTGTCTGTTCCAGCTTGCGAGATTTGGAAAAGGGTAAGCAAGTTTTTGCCTTTTGTTTCAAGGTGGGATTTGTTTATAATAGCATTGTGTCAGGTGCTGCTATTGACCTCTTTTCCAAATGCAACAGATTGGAGGATGCAGTGCGGTACTTTAAAGAACATGAACAATGGGATTCGGCTCTATGCAATTCCATGATTTCATGTTATGCCAGACATGGTTTGGGGGAAGATGCTCTTCAGCTCTTTGTGCTGACCTTGAGGAAGAATATCAGACCAACGGAATATACCATTAGCTGTCTTCTGAGTTCTGTTTCTATTTTCTTGCCAGTAGAACTTGGTAATCAAATACATGCTTTGGTTCCTAAGTTGGGTTTCGAGTCAGATGCAGTTGTTGCCAATTCACTTGTTGATATGTATGCTAAATTTGGATTTATTGATGATGCCTTGAATATCTTCAATGAAATAAAAGCAAAAGATTTGGTATCATGGAACACTATAATGATGGGACTGTCTTACAATGGCAGAGTGTCTGTGACCTTGGATCTCTTCAAGGAGTTGATAAGAGAAGGAATGCAACCTGATCGATTAACATTTACGGCAGTTCTACTAGCATGCAACTATGGAAGTTTGGTTGATGAAGGAATTAGGATATTTTCTCTAATGGAAATGGAATTTGGAGTAAAACCCGAGGAAGAACATTATTCATATGTTGTAGAGATTTTATGTAGAGCTGGTAAAGTCAAAGAAGCCATTGACATTGTGGAAAAAATGTCATGTGGAACCACCCCTGACATTTGGAGGTCATTTATTTCTGCGTGTGCAAGATATGGAGACTTGCAAGCTACTGAAATAGTTGCAACAAGAATAATGGAGAGGTCACCACAGACATCCTTACCGTACTTGGTGTTGGCTCAGGTATATCAGATGAGTGGCCGCTGGGAGAGCACAGTTCGAGTGAGGAAGGCTATGAAAAATAGAGGTAGTAAAGAGCTCATTGGATACAGTTGGGTGGGAATAAAAAACCATGTATATACTTTTGGATCAAACCAATTACAGCATTATGGTGGCAAAGATATTTATATGCTACTGAATTTACTGGTCTGGGAGATGGAGACTGATTGTAATGTCTAAAATTGTGTGCAGTTGGAGGGGAATATGGATATTTGAATTGAAGTGGGTTACAAATTACAAACTCTGATTCTGAATTCTGGGTGACATATTATTATTGATAAACTGGATGATAGGTATGTTCCTTAGACGGATTAGTAAACTGGACCATGATATATGGATTATTTGTTTATATTTCACCTAATTGATATTCTCTTTTTCCCCCCAAAACCACTGCTTCATATTTCATCATTTTACATATGCTTCAAGGTGCGGTTTCTCTCACACAGCTCTGTTGGTTTTCATTTTCCCTCCCAAGCTGCGGTTTCTTGGTTGTGGTTTCACTCTCACCAACTCATTTTTTGAGAACTCATTCCCTACAAAGGTTAGTTCAAATGTCCTATGTGTTGGTTATCAACTAAAAATATGCTTTTCACTTCATGTTTATCATACTTCCATGGGTTCTGTTGAAATTAATTTTGCAAAGATTGTTTGTTTTAAATACGTGGTTTTATGTCCCATGTTCATCTATGAAAGCTTTTCCTTACAAAATCATGTTTTTGGATGGTATTTTAATGTCCTTTGTTCTATTATTTGCTGTAAAAAATAATTTTTCTAAGTTAAGTTTAATGTTCTTTGTTCTATTATTTGCTTTCAACTATGTTATTTCAAAAACAATGTTATTTTTCCAGCATTTACAGTGAATCTTAAATCAGTTTTACAGGTATATGTCTTTATTGCTGCTAATTAATCAATGGTTTAACAGGGATACATATTCACTGTAGGCATAGAGATACATATTCTTTCTTCAATTGATTAGGATGATATTTTGTCCAAATTTGAAAGTTTGATCAATATCAAAGTTCGTCAGTGCGCTTTGTATGCTTTCCGTTATTTTTTTTTTCTTTGATATGTCAGTGATGGACATGGTTTAAAGTGAGTGTTTGTGATTGGTAATTGAACAGATGGAATCGATCTCGGCAAGCTCTTCATTGGAGGAATATCTTGGGACACATATGAGGAACGTCTCATGGAGTATTTTGCCACATATGGGAAGGTGATTGAGGCTGTGATCATGCGAGATCACGCAACAGGGCGTGCTCATGGTTTTGGTTTTGTTGTCTTTGTTATCTTAGATTTGGTTCTTCTTGCTGAGCTTAGGTGTTGAATTCATCGGAAATCCGAACACGGGGTCATTATCTGTTCCTTAAACTATTTTGTTTATTCAATTGTCAAAAAATGAGCTAAATTGGTTTCTTGATTTATTTACATGACAAGTTTCACTCATTTCATTCGGTTGCAACCATCCTCAGTTGACAATATTACCTAGATAAATAAGCATGATCCTTCTTTTACTACTCCTGGTCATGTAGCTGCACCATATGGAAGGTTTCCTGGAGCTGGTCACCCTTCAACAATTCCACCAAATGGTGCACCCTATTCCCTTAGCACAGTAGCTACTGTTCATCCTACTGCAGCTTTCTCTGCTGATGCATATGGAATTTCTGGTGTCCCTGAACGTCCTAAGAAGTTAAGTGCTTTCTGAAGGTTAGTGCTTTGATATATATGATTCATCAAACCTAAATTTGAAATTATTTTTTAGGCGTCAGTCCCTAACTGGCTTAGAGAGGAAATAAAGAAAACAGTCATTGCCACTCCTTCTGCAGATCATCCAAAAGTGGAAGAAACACTTGTGAGTGATGACATTGATAAATCATATATGAAAGCTGAAGATGAGACAAATAGTAAAAGTGTTGATTCGTCCAGATCAGCTGAGGATGAAGATGACGAGAAGGTTTGCTTTTTACTATTTCTTCCCATAAAAATAAGTTATCTCTATTTATGTATGAGTGTGTGTGTCTATACATATAATCTTCATCCACTTCAGATTTTATCTGACATTTGTGATATGTATGATCAGGTTGAAGTGGCTAGAACTGCAGCAATCAACCAGGAAATAAAAAAATTCTTACCGGAGTTCTTTTAAAGGTAAGCGCATTGTTTGAAATGAATGAGTTGTTGTGTCCTATTTAACCTTTTTTTTTGGTGGAAAAAAAATGCTATGTTTAACATCTATATACTATCTGTAGTAGAGAAATGTATGACAAGAAGGCGGAAAGGATAGAGTCGTTACCGATGACATGTTAGGTTGGGGTGCAACATGATTTAAATGGTTTTGGGTAGAAGCTGCTGACGAGGATTAGGATGTTGTCCTGGATTAAGAACTTGAGACTGTAAAACAAGTCCCGTGCTAAAGGAAAAGAAAAAATATTGGGTGAACCTTCTAATTCTATCACTTTCCTGTTCATTGCCAGCTGGAATATTGGGTGACCTTTTTGGTGTAGGTGTTGGATTTGTTATGGGTCCTTTGTTTATCGAATTTGGAACTACGTCTCGGTAAATTCTACTATATTCTTTCTATCATTACATAAATTGATGATAATCTATAGTTATCTTATAGTATTTGATGATCTTGCAGGTAGCAAGTGCCACAACTACATTAGGAATGACATTCATAGCATTTTAGCACAGGACATGGTGATTTCAGTAGCAATTGATCTATAGATGCACACATGGTGATTTCATTTACCATCTTCCAAAGTGGTTCTAAATTGATCTATAACTAATGTTATTTTCCTGGTATATGCTATCTAATGTTATTTTCCAACTTGATCTACAACTTGTGTTTTGGTTTTTCGATATTTGTTGAATTATCATGTTCTTTAAGAGTTTAAGAATTTTTGTTCAATAATTGAGAATCAAGCTTTTTGTTGTTGATTATATTTTTTGCAGAATACACGGTAATAGAAGAATAAAAAGGGCAGTTGTTAGAAATTAGGGTTTGAGTAGAGAAATGTTTGGAACGGCGTTTAGAAATGCAGCAAAGAAATTGAAGCCAAAGATGGGAGCGGTGACGCTGACAACGCCACCGGAACAGAGACAAACGATAACCAGAACTCTCTTTGATATCGTCAAGGAGCATGGTCCAATCACAGTTTCTAACACATGGGAACGCGTCAAGGTTCATAATCTCTCTAATTAGTCGATTAATCTATATATACACTATTTGTTTTTAATTTATTTAATCATATTGTTGCTGCATTATGTTTTGATGAATGAAAAATGAGGATACACTCATGATGTTTCTTCATTTTCCAATCTAGTTTTTGTAACCCTAAATTGATGCTATTTTTTAAGTCAATTTTATTTGCAATAATTGAAGTAGTAAATTTGTTTTTGTTTTGAAACACTTTTCCAGTGTTGTCAAATAGTTGTTATAGTGGCGCGACAGCGCAGAATGCAGATTGATTAGAACCAATAAGTAATTTTCTCTTAGTACAAAGTGTTGTGAAATTGTGGTTATAACGGCCATATAGTAGTATTGCCGTGTAGTAGGATTTGAGAAATTGCTATTTTTCGTGAGCTGTGATTGATAACATTGCACATATGAGTTTACGATATTAGTGGGAAAAACTAAGTATTTCCACATATTATGCTAAGTTTGGTGTATTGGGTGTTAGAAAGAAATTGCTTACATTATATTGGAAGTGATAGGACACATTATTTTGCATGAATTGGGATGTCTTTGCCTATGTATTGGGATGTCTTTGTCAAAGGAGATATTTCTGCGATTTGTTTACTGCGTCGCACACAATTGTGATTTGTTAACTACGTCGCACACATTATTATAATAGTCAACAAAAGTAAAAATGTCATATTTATCTTAAAAAATTGTGTGGTTTCATAAGTGTATTATTTTTAAATTGTGATTAAATTTTTTTAATATTATATTAATTATAATTTATCAATAATCCTCTTAATTAAATATATTATATTGTCTAAGTTTGTCTAAAAGCAAAAACAAAAATAATAATAAAAAAGAAATAAATGGAATAAAATACTTGTAATTTTAGAAATTAATTATATTTTCCAATTATATATCTCAATTTACTTAACTACTTTATTAATTAGTATTTTTTTTTTTTGAATAAATGGAGTATATTTCATTCAAAAAATAACAATTACACGCATGTGGCGATCCACGATCCAGCCCTCAAGATTACCAAATCACACCAAAAATACGCTGCCAACAAAAGAAAGAAATTAAGCGCAACAGTAAAAACTATAGCATCAACTCTGGAATTCGAGTTCGAAGTTTATGACTATACCAACCTCTATAAGTTATCATATATATAATATTACTCCGTATAAAGCTGTTGTCCTTCGCCTTCCCGAAACAATTGTGATTCCTATACATCCAAAGTCCATAAAGTGTCTTTGTCACAGCAAGACGGATGAGTGCTGATTTTTTCCCCTTACCTGTACCGTGCTGCAGAATCCAATTCAATTTTTGATTCCAACTTTTTGGTTCGTGCCGAACACCTATCCAATCCAGAACATCCTTCCAAATACCTTTCATAGTGGGACATTCAAAGAACAGATGTGTGATGGTTTCCTCCGCTTCACAGAAGCAGCATGTATTATTTTCCACCTTTCCATACCGCATACACCGGTCTTTCGTTGCAAGTTTCTGATGGCATATCAGCCATAATGTCATAATTGCTCTTGGCCTTGCTACATTACCATACATTAGTTTCCACCAAATTTTCTCTTCCTCATCTCCCTTATTTAGTTCCCGATAAATACTTGACATATGGAATTTCCCCTTAGCCAACATTTCATCCCATTTCTGCTGGATCGGTGGTATCATGTCTCTAGCTTTCAAAGTCGTTTTCATAATCCACGAACTATCCGGTTTCACACTCATCTCCATAACACTCTTATTTTTGAAATAATATGTATGCATCCAGCGAACCCACATGGTATCCGCTTTATTATATATGTTCCAGATTAGCTTAAGCATCGTGACTATACTCCAAATCTCCAGGTTAATAATATTCATACCTCCATATTTGACAGGTTTGCAGACAGTTTTCCACGCAACGGGGCTGCGGTTACTAGGTTCCAAACCACCTGTCCATAGGAACGTTCGGCATATAGTATTAATCTTCTTCAAAACATATTTTGGCAGCGGTAGACATTGCAGCCAATAATTCGCAATTGCAAAGGTAATGCTTTTGATAAGTTGGAGTCGACCCGCATAGCTCAACAACTTGGTACTCTAATGTCTTACCCTATCCACAATTTTATCAACCAATATCATGTAATGGTTGATAGAAAGCCTTTTCATCGTGAGTGGTACGCCTAAATATTTGAAAGGGAGAGAGCCCTCCACAAACAAAGTCTTCTGTAAGATTGCATCTTTTACATTTTCTTCCACACCCCCAAAATATATGCGACTTTTAGTAGCATTTAACATCAGTCCAGTGGCTCTCGTAAAGTTACAAATCGCTTCCATCATGATCTCTACTGATCTTGTGTCCCCCTTGGAAAACAGTAGAATGTCGTCCGCAAATGTCAGGTGAGTGATGCTCAGCTTTTCACATTTCACATGGTGGTTGAAATCAGGATTCTGTTGCATCCTGTACAGTACCCTATTCAAGTATTCCATCACTATCACAAACAAATAAGGGGATATAGGGTCCCCCTGCCGCACACCTCTTTTTGCTTTCATGATACTACTATACTCCCCGTTTACATTAAATCTGTACGACACTGTTTTCACCGCGAGCATGATCCAACGAACAAATCTGTTTGGTAAGCCAATTTCGTTTAGAATTGATTCAAGAGCTTTCCAATCCACCATATCGTACGCTTTTTGTAAATCCAACTGAATCATACACCTAGGTGCCCCTCCTTTGCGGCTGTAACCTTTAATCAGTTCGTATGCTAGTAGTATATGGTTATGAATTTGCTGTCCTGGGACGAAAGCAGCCTGGCTGCATCCTATTAGGTTTGCCATGATCTTACTTAATCTCATTGTAAGAATTTTGGAAATGATTTTATATAGGGTAGTACAGCCTGCGATTGGTCGATATTCCTTGATAGTTTTTGCCTCTTCGTGTTTGGGAATGAGCGTAATCAAGGTGCAATTCACAGCCAGGAAAATTTGATCATGTTCAAAGAATTCTCTCACTGCTGCAATGACATCCCTACCCACAATTTGCCAACTTTCTTTGAAGAATTTTGCCCCGTAGCCGTCAATACCCGGAGATTTGAGGTCTCCAATACTGTGCAGAGCTGCCACAATTTCCTTTTCTGTGACTGGGCCAGTGAGCATATCTGCCTGATCAGTGTCGATTTGATACCCTTCTCGCATTGCCACAATATCTATAGCCTGAGTTGATTCAGCCTGTTTGCCCATTAGATCTCCGTAAAATCGTAGTACCTCTGCTTGTATATCTACTTGCTCAGTGGCGATAGAACCATTTTCCAACTGCAAAGTCTCTATACTTGTTGCCTTATTTTTGGCTCTGATTGAGGCATGAAAATAGGAATTATTGCCATCCCCTAATTTTAGCCAATCAATTTTCGATCTCTGCTTCAGAATTGCTTCATCAATCTCATTCCATTTAATGACATCTTCTGTACAATCCTTGACTAAGTCGATTTTTTCTTTATTCATCCTGTCATCATTAAGCGCCTGATGTGCTTCCTTGAGTGCCTCTCTAGCTTTTGCTAAGTGAACTTTAGCCTGTGTTGTATGTTTGGTCAAGGGGCCAAGATCCTTCTGTAACCTCTTTAGTTTCTTCCAAACAACTTCCATGGGTCTGCTACCATTAACTGGTGTGTGCCAGCTGCGAGCAACAATCTCACTGTATCCTGCCATTTTCGTGACACAATTCAAGAATTTGAACTTTCTTTTCCTGTAATCTGAGTTCTCTTGTCCAATCACGTGGAGAATAGCGTGGTCCGACACATTTGGAGCTAGCACATTCAAGTTCACATCCTGAAAAGTTTGAAACCAGTCCACATTTCCCAAAACTCTATCTATTCTTGAATAAATGGGGTCGACATTATGTTTATTAAACCAAGTGTAGTAATCTCCTTTGGACTCCATTTCAAATAGGCCAATCCTCTGCATCATATTTTGGAGATCAATGTATTCTGTTTCCGTTACTCGATTCCCCCCAATTCTGTCCTTAGTCCTTAATACATTGTTGAAATCTCCTACAATGCACCAAGGACCTGGTTGTTGGGAGTGTTCAATATCATGCCACAATTTTCTTCGCAACTCCAGTTTATTATGCGCATAAACAGCTGTCAGCCAGAATTTAAAGCCTCCTTGCGCATCCCTTACCTCACAGTGCACCATCTGATCAGTGATTTTATTACTAATGATATCAATATTACCATCATTCCAGTTCAACCAGATTCTCCCATTTATATGATGACTATAGTTATCTAAGTATTGGCCTGGAAGTTTCAATTTATCTCTTATATTCTTTGCATTTTCCTTCTTCACCCTTGTTTCTAGCAGGATATTAATATCAGCTTTTAGGGACAGGAGATGGGAGCTAATCTCCTTATATTTACCTGCTCGGTTGAGCCCCCTAACATTCCACGAGATCAGCATGGGCCAGGGTCATCTAATGCAATAGTGTCCTTCGAAACACCTAATGCATCGAACCCATTCACACATTTCAGCCAATCTTGAGTGTTGTTTTGGCTACTTCCTCTTTCATTCATACATTACAGCCATTCTGGTGTTGTTGTCTTTGTTTGTCCTTTTCCTCTACCAGTCCCTGTTTTCCTGGGAGTGTTCCACTCTTCTGTTGGCAGCCGTTGGAGGATAGGTCCTGGCTGGTATGGTTTTGTCACTTCCTTTGGTGCAGGTATTGGCTTTTCCATCATCTGTTCTTGATATGCTTCTGGTTGTTTCTTCTGTCTCCATTGCTTAACCTCCCTTCTTGTCTCACCACATTTGTGCCCAATCTTTTGGCATTTGGAGCAAAATTGTGGTTTCCATTCAAATTCCACGACTTGTTTCATTTTATTTCCATCTTTATCTCTTACTATAATTTCTTGCGGTAATTCCTTTGTGATATCCACTTCCACCAATATTCGAGCATACGATATGCGGAGTTTACTCGTCGTACACTCATCTGTAACGATAGGACT